AAGGGCAGGAAGAGAGCAATAAGAGTGAAGAAATTTGTTAAAAAATGGCTGAATAGCATCAATTCTGTATGATTCAAACTATACTACTGTATCAGGACACAAACTTGATAAATACAGCACATTATCATGTAACAAGAAGTCGGGGGTGGGGGTGCAGTGCCGTCTTGGTTAATTCAGGGACCCACTATTATGTCCGCAGCAGCCCAGGTTCTTTCCATCCTTTCCTCCCCTATCCTCAGCCGGTGAGCTTAATCCTGGGCAAGCTCAGCACTGCTGCTAGACTCCAGATAATGTGGCAGATTCAGGTGTCACATTCAGCCATAACATCAGAAAACAGAAAATTTCTGCTTGTTATTTACTCCCTTCCCTTCCCTTCCCTTCCCTTCCCTGCCCTGCCCTGCCCTGCCCTGCCCTGCCCTGCCCTCTCCCCCCTCCCCCTCTCCCTCCCTCCCTCTCCCTCTCTCTCTCTCTTTTCAGTCTCACTATGTAGTCTCGATTGGCCTTGAACTCTCAACCTTCTTGCCTCAGCCTCCTGAGTGCTGGGATTACAGTCATTTACCAGCTCTGTGATTCACTTTATAATCAATAAGAAAAAATATATATATATATAATCAATAAGAAAACTTTCTGGCCAGGCATGGTGGCACATGCCTGTAATCCTAGCGCTCTCAGAGGCTGAAGGATGCGAAGTTCGAGCCTGTTATGGTTTGGGTCGACATGTCCCCCAAGAACCTCATGTGGTCATAGGTGGGGCTTTTTCAGAGGCGGCTGAATCTAGAGTGTGTGATGCCGGCATTAATGGTGTGATTTCTAAATCAGTCCACTGACTGGTTTGGCACCTCCCAAATCCCGGCACAATACAAGGGACAGAAAGAGACTTGTCTTCTCCTTTGCTTGCTTGCTTTTGCTGCCTTCTGCCTGCCATGAGCTGTTTCTCCTCTGTGATGCCCCTGCCATGCGCCATCCTGCCTCAGAGCCAGCCAATTATGGACTGAAACCTCTACAAACTGTGAGCTAAATAAACCTTTCACCCTTTAACTTTGGGAGTTGGGTATTTTGTCTCAGCACAGAGAGAAAAGTAACTAAGACAGCGCCCAACCTGGGAAATTTGGGGAGATCCTGTCTCAAAATAAAAGAAATTAAAAGGAAGGCTGGAGATGTAGCTCAATGCAAAGGCTCTGGGTTCATTCTCCAGTGTGGCGGCTGGGGTGAGGAGTAGAACAGGTAGTCACAATAGCTATCATCAAGAATACAAAAAACAATGGATACAAGGGGAAAAGGAGCTGGGCGTGGTGGCACACATCCATAATCCCAGCACTTGGGAGACTGAGGCAGGAGGATCGTAGTGAGTTCGAAACCAGCCTGGGCTACAAAGTGAGCTCAAGGCCAGCCTGAACTGCATAGCGAGACCCTGCCTCAAAAAACACAAAAAAAAGGACCGGCGGGGAGGAACCCTACTATATCACTGATAGGAATAGAAGCTAATACAACCACTATGAAAATAAGTATAGAGATGCCTCAAAAAAACTAAACCTGGAAATACCATTCAATCCTCAATAGCACTTCTGAGCACATTCCAGAAAGAATTAAAGTCAGCATAGAGCTCCCGGAGGAGGGCCCCCAGCGCACGGGGAGCCTCGGGCGAGGAGCGCCGGTCTTTGGACCGGCGGCTCACTCTCGGCCTCGTAGTTCCCTGGAAGGAGGGCTTCCGGCCCACAGGGAGCCACGGGTGGGGAGCGCCGGTCTTCCGGCTGGCTAGCTTCCTGCCTCGTAGCTCCCAGAGGGTGGGCCCCCAGCGCACGGGGAGCCTCGAGCGGGGAGCGCTGTTGCGCGCCGGCCCTTACGCTGGCCGCCACCACTCAATCGAGATCTATCATGACACAGAGAAACAGTGACACAATTGGCCCACCATGCACCGACTGCAGTTGCCCACCCACGGATGTGTGTGAATCATTGAAACTTTGAACAACCCCTGGTAATACATGCCATACAACGGGCCATTCTTGCTCCTGCCATTGAGAACCGGAAAGGTCCAGAGCCAGCGGAGGAGCAGCTGCTGAACAAGGACTCAGAGAACATGAGAATGCAGACCAAGCCCACGGAGTCAGAGGTCCTGTGGACTGGGGTCACGAGAGCCACTCGGAAGCTGTAAACCAGGAGGACCTTGCACAATACCTGCAGAGACTCCCTGGAAGCCATTCTTCCCCTGACAGTACAGGCTGTGATGGAGCTCCAGAGAAGTCTGCAGCAGGATTCCTGCTGCCTGTGCTGACAGTTGGGGAGAGGACACTAACTGGTTGTGGGGTCCCAAAGCAATGGGAAGCTGGAGAGAAAAAGCTACAAAGAATGGCCTTCGCCCCAGCCAGCTCACTTGATTTTTGACAACCCTTAGGCTGTAACTACTTGTTAGATCCTTCTTGTGTATCTCTGTCTTCCTGAGAAACCACTTTGAAGATACCACCATGTATTACAGCAGTCATTGATATTTTCCTACTAATCTATCCATAACTCTCTAATGTTTGTATTGTTCCTATCCTATTTCATAAATGGATCCATGTTTATTATTATGTGTATCCTACAACAACCATTGAGAATTATTGAATGATTATTCAGTAGGTCACTCAAGTATAGTTCTATTTATATTCTTTAGAAGCCATTTTGAAGATACCTAAGTATAGTACAACAACTATTGATAATCTCCTACCTCTCTTGTCTGTAACTCACTATCATTTGTCTATTTGCTTTCCTGAGAAACTATCTTATAGATAACAATATGTAAAACAATAACCATGGATAATTTCCTACCACTTTGTCTGTAATTTGGTAAGCCCCTCCTATTATTATGTTATCCTTCTTTTACTCTTTAAAATAAAATTAAAAAAAATTAATAAAGTCAGCATAATATAGGGCTACTTAAATAATGCAATTCCCAATAGCTAAACTGTGGAAACAGCCTAGATACCCATCAACAGATTAATGGAAAAAGAAAATAGGGCATGTGTACACAACAACGTCTTACTCATCCTTAAAGAAGAATGAAACCAAACCATTTACAGGGAAATAGATGGAACTAGAGACCATTATGTTAGGTACAATAAGCCAGACTCCGGAAGTTAAATGTCACATGTTCTCTCTTATATGAGTAAATAAGTAAATAATAAGTAAATAAATGAAAAGGAGACGACAGGAAACAGGAAGTAGTCTTTCGGAAATCAGGAAGGGCATCAGGAAGTGGGAGGAAAGGAAGAAGAGGTAGTGAGATAGAGAATGTAAAGATATGTTAAATGCGTGCATGTATGTGTGTGTGTGTGCATGTGTGTGTGTGCGTATGCGTGTGTGTGTGTGTGTGCATGTGTGTGCACGCACACGCACATGTACTGAATTGGGGCTCCACTGAACTGAGCTAGCAAGTGGTCAAGAGAATGACAGAACAAAAGTTTTTATTGATTTCTTAGGTTAACTAAAGTCCAGTAACTTCCACTGGCCAGGGGCACAATTCCAAAAGATGTTTCTTTCTGTGATGGATTTGGGCCACTGAGTGGCCGTGTTCAACTTGTCCTAGACAGTGTTGACTTCCCTGTATCTGGCACCATCACCCTGTGCGAGACATCCCAGCCCTGTACTCCGTGGGCTGTCAGGCAGTCAGCTTTGCTCGCTAGTGCCGACTCAGCCTCATGCCCGGTACCATCATCTTGTGTAAAGGTCCTGGCCTCCTGATATCTCTGAAGGACTTTTGGCGGTTGAGCTGCTGAGACTTCTGAAGAAGCAGAAGGTTGGGGACAGAAAAAAAGAGGAGGGAGAAAGAAAAGGAAAACACATCCAGCTCTCGTGGGCAACAGGCCAAGTTACATTTGAATTACAGCTGCGACTAAACATTTTTAAGTTATCAACATGCCCATGTACAGAGCTGAGTAGACTTCGACCCAGGGGTCAATACTGAAAAGGGGTCAGACACAATAAGAGGATGGAGGCATCAAGCCTATTTTAGTCACCGTCAGATCTCTGTGGGCTCAAGTGAAGGTCACTGTTTTCTGCAAAGGCAGCCTTCAGGTCCCCAGGAAGTAGCTCAGGTTGCTGTTATACCCCACACATCAGAGGCATTCTCACTGCAAAGCTAGGGGCTTGAAGTTTAAAATTAATGACTTCAAGCTGACTAAAGCAAGTGATGGTAGAGAGCTTATTTAGGTTTTTTCATAATAAGGATTTCTCATCTCATGTAAAAGTTCTGCTTTCATGGTTTTATCAGGGTCACGTGTCGGGTCTGTTAAAACACGCCCTGCCTGCTGCAAAAGACAATAATTTATGGACCACTGGGGTTTTTGTCACTTCAGCCTTCTCTCCCACCACTGTCCCACCATGGTGGCCCCTGGCTGTTCCACTTTCACATATTTATACATGTACCATAGAAAATAGGTATCATTTTGAGTGTGTAATTTTTTATGGTACTGGGGTTTGAACCCAGGGCATTTGCACTGATCTAATGCCCAGTCCTTTTTACTTATTTTTTATTTTGAGACAGGTTTAAATTGTTAACTTGTCATCCCCCCAAAATCCCGTAGGGTAAATACATAAACATGTTCAAAACTTGATAATGTTGAAGGTGGACACTATATACACAGGGATTCATGATATCGTTTGTTCTACTTCTTCCTGTTCAAAAATTTTCAGAGTGGTTAGAAGGAAGCAGAGGTATAAAACTTAGGGAGAGGGGCTGTCAGGATTTGGTTTATTTGCATCTAGGTATCAGATTAAATGTAGCACTGCCTCTGATCTTATCCCGTGGTAGAACTGAGCAGCTGTGTGTTTTAAGCTGCTGCATTTTCTTCTCAGATAATAAAATGTTAGCACTGGAAGATACAAGAAAATATCCAACTAGGGCATCTGATTTTGCCCCCAGATGCAACAGTCTTAGAAAGTTACGGATGAGGGGGTAGGGTAAGATACTGTTCTTCCCCTCTTTGCTCCATTTCTCCCTGAGAAAAATGAATAAGGCAATGAGATGTATTCAAATTTTTATTTTCACTAAAAATCGGGGTAAAGGAAACTTTTTAGAAGAAACCACCTGCATGATGGGAAAGGGGAAGACCCAGCTTCACACAGTGGCTCCAGGGTGTTCAAAGGAAGAAATCAAATTCAGCTGAGCTCAGCCCGTCTTCCTGAATTGGTCCAGAGTCCGGGGTTGGGGTCAGCCCTTCAGAGGGGAAACAAGACCGTCCAGAGTTCAAGGCAGCAGACTCTGAAATATGTGGTGCTGGTGCTCCGACCACCTCAGCTGAGCGTGCAGGCTGGTGTTTTCCGTGTTGGTGAGGAAATCGGCCCAATTCCCCAGGCTCTGCTCCCACCCCTACTGCAGCGTGGGTGGGATCTGCCCAGTCCCCTTGTCCCCGCAGGCTGCCGACTCTCCGAGTCTTGAGAAGGTTTGTAGGCAGGCATGTCCGTCTTGGGCCATGAGCCAGCCTCTCATGAGGGTTGGTTGTACAGAGATTTCCAGAAAGGTTAGTAGGACAATCCTTTAGGGCTGGCCTTCTCTTTGGTGCCCTTTCATCGTGGCGTGGATTGGGCCTGATAAAGCCATAGCTTTTCCCCTAGCTACTCCCACTGGATTCCTAGAAGCTCACAGCTGACATTCCACAGACGCTCAGCTGTTTTGTTATTTCGGGCCCTTGAAGAGACCCAGGTCCTCTTGCAGTCACTGAAAGGAAGATACAGAAGAGTGAGAATTGGCATTCAGGGAAGGCTTGTGGTCTCTTCCTCAGAATATATTTCTAAATGTATAAAACGTAATATACTGGATTCAAAGAAACTATATTGAAATGCATCTTTAAAATATTTTAAAAACTAAGTTGTGATGTAGTAATACATAGGCTTCTCGTTTAATACATTCTGCCAGATCCAGCTCCAGGACTAACATCTAGCCAATTTCAAAGCAGTGGTGAGGGGCTGGGGATTTAGCTCAGAGGCAAAAGCGCCTGCCTGGCAAGCGCAAGGTCGTGAGTTCGGTTCCCAGTACCGGAGAAAAACCAAAAAAAAAAAACAAAGCAGTGGTGAGCGGCAGCGGCATGATGAGACAGTTGCAATGCATCCAGTGTGATATGGAAATAGTTATAATTCCATTGGCGACAAGGTCACGGGTATCACTGCTACTACTGTGGCTCATTGCTTACATTTGTATTTGGAGGAAATGCTAAGTTTCAGTTAGAGGTTTGTGAAATTAAAGAGGAAAGAATTTCCTCATTCAGGCTTACAGACCCCCTGAAAACCACAGGGCCACTTGTGTCCCCTAAGCCCTAGACTGTGTGCCCATTTTGCTTTGGAAGCTGGGTGTGGTGGCGCACGCCTGTAATCCTAGCACTCGGGAGGCTGAGGCAGGAGGATCGTTTTGAGTTCGAGGCCAGCCTGGGCTACAAGTGAGCTCAAGGCCAGCCTGAACTGCATAGCGAGACCCTGTCTCAAAAAAAAGAATACAATTTTGCTTTGGAAACAATGGGGGCACAGACTCAGGACTAGAGAGATAGTAGGGTAGAGGGAGAACACGGTCCTCATAGGAGGTTTCTTTTTTCTTGGTGGTGCTGGAGATTAAACCCAGGACCTTACACATGTTAGGCCAGTGCTTTGTCACTGAGCTATATTGTCAGCTCTGGGCTCTTTTTTCATAAATACTTTTTCCTAATTATGAAAGCTCTGTATGGCCTTTGGAAAACATAGTACTAACAAGAGAAGAAAAGATTATCATTTACATATTGCTTTTCTTTACACTCTTGTTTGCTTTGTTCATGTTTAGATATACAGTATAGTCTGTTTCTTTTACACAGAACTAGGATCATACTATATTTAGCTTAAGGGGGACACCTTTGTTTTGTTAAAAAATAGATGTGTTTGCCAGACACAGTGGTATATGCCTATAATCCCAGCTACTTGGGAGGCTGAAGCAGGAGAATCACAAGTTTAAGGACAGCTTGGGTAACTCAGCAAGACCCTGTCTCAAAAAAAAAAAAAAAGAAAGAAAGAAAGAAAGAAAGAAAGAAAGAAAGAAAGAAAGAAAAGAAAAGAATGGAGCACTGGGAAAGTAGCTCAGTCACAGAGTGTTTGCCTAGTATGTATGAGGCCCTGGATTCAATTCCCAAAATAGATAGATAGATAGATAGATAGATGATAGATAGATAGATAGATAGATAGATAGATATTTTAATACTTTTTTGAAACAGGGTCTCACAATGTAGTCCAGGGTGGCCTTGAACATGTGACCCTCCAGCCAACACACCTGGCATAATGTTACTTTAAATAATAAAGAAATATCTAGAATGAAAAGGTGTAGGCTTTCATCCTCTCTCGTATTCTGCCGGACTCTCCCTCAAACTCCCCAAAGCAACCACGGCTCTTCAGCGCTAGGTATCCCTCCAGACTGCTGTCTATGTGTTTACAGCGAATACTATTATACATTTTTTCTCACGGTGTTACATTACCAACATTTCTCCATAAATTAAATATTATTTAATAGTATTATATTTAATGACTATGTAGTACTCTGTCACACCTTTAAGGCAGTAACTGAAACACTCGGGCTCGCTGCAGTAGTTTAGTTCAACAGAAATATGAAGCAAACCATGAATGTGAGCCACACATGCAGTTGAAGTTTTTCTATTAGCCACATTTAAAAGGTAAAAGGAAGCTGGTTCAATTAATTTTAGAAATCCATCTTATTTAATCTAATAGAGCCAAAACATTTGAGCATACAGCCAATATGAAAAAATATTAATAGGACATTTTATATTTCTTTTTCCTTTTTTTGAAAAAAAAATATATTTTTTTATTTTAAAGAGTAAAAGAAGGATAACACAGTACTGGGGGGCTTACCGAATTACAAAGTGGTAGGAAATTATCAATGGTTGTTGTTTTACATATTGTTATCTACAAGATAGTTTCTCAGGAAAACAAATAGACAAATAATAGTGAGCTACAGACAAAAGTGGTAGGTTATTATCAATGGTTGTTGTACTATACTTTGGTATCTTCAAAGTGGTTTCTAAGGAAAATAAATAGAGCTATACATGGGTGACCTATTGAATATTCATTGAGTATCCTCAATGGTTGTTGTAGGAAACACATAGTACTAAACACACTTTTAAAAATATATTTCTTTTTTTTCATACTATGTCTTCAAAATTTGGTGGGCATTGGGCTGGGGATATAGCTCAGTGGTATAAGTACCTGCCTGGCAAGCACAAGGTCCTGAGTTCAATTCCCAGTACCAAAAAAATATGGTGGGCGTTTTACACTAACTGCACATCTTCATTTGGACTAGCCACATTTCATGTATTCGATGTGACCAGTTCATGTGGCTAGTGACAACCACATTGAACAGCATCTCTGGCTGGAGTCAGACTGCTTGGGTGTGAACCTCAGCTCTACCACTTACAAATCCTACAAACTTGAGCAAGTTTCTTAATTATCTTATGCCTGAATTTCATCTATAAAATGGACATAATCTTACCCATCTCTCAGAGTTGTGAGGATTATATGAATTGATATACTTAAAAATTTATTTATTTATTTATTTATTGGTTTTTCTCCAGTACCGGGAATCAAACTCACGACCTTGCACTTGCCAGGCAGGCGCTGTGCCGCTGAGCTAAATCCCCAGCCCAATACTTAAAAATTTAGAAGAGCACCAAACACATTATAGGGGCTCAAGCCACATTATCAGCTAGTGGTAATTAGCTGTTATAGTTTATTCATTCCCCTAGTGTTGGACACTGAGGTTAGTTCCAGGGCTTCACTTCAGTGGTGCTCTGATGAACAGCCTTGAACAAGGTGAGACAGCAGAATGGCCTGGGCTGGATTAAGTCACAGAATGGGAAGGAGATTTAATTGTAGGCTTCCTTTACTCTCAAACTCTCTCTTCATGCTGAATTTGTGACAAGAGTCAGTACCAAAGTTTCAGTGTCAGCGATAAAGCCAATCTTGACAGCAGTGGGACACAAGATTCACAGAGCAGAGATTTAGCCTTCTCCTCAGCTCTTGCTGTCAAGTACTATTAAAGAAATCAATTAAACCAGCCAAAGGCTTAAAGGAGGAGGATAAGATCCAGAAGGCCCACGAGTGTTCTTTCCGTGGCATAGCCCACCGGGACAGTCTCCAGCAACTTTCAGAAAGCTACGAAGTCTACGTGGGAACATGGCACCCAGGTATAAAAAAACAGAGCCATGAATGCATTCTTTCTAATGTAAGTTTCTAATATGAACGTCCTTGGAAAAGGAGTAGCAAGTGGTTTGCAGGCCCAACCCAAACTGGATCCTACTGTCAGGCACAAACTTGACAGCTGGAATGCCAAGCACGTGGAGCCCTGTGCCCGCACGCAGGTAACGGAGGGAACCCACGCTGCTGCCACCCACCTGAAGTACTTGCCGCTGAGGGGTTCCAGGCCCTCAGCCAGGGCACAGTGCAGGCTGGTCTGCGCCCCCTCCCACGTGGACTTGAGGAAGAGGGAGAAGAACCGCCACAACAGACACAGGAGGAAGGAGTGCCGGAACAGCTCGGAGGTGACAACGCCTGGGTGCACCGCGTAGGTGGTGACCCCTGTGCCTAGGACAGAGAGGGCACGATGAGACCAAGGCACACTCTGCGGCCAGGAAAACAGCTCATCTCTGCAGAATATGCGAGAAGAAGGGGCTCGAGAGCCCCATCCCCAGGTTCAGAAGGTACCACCCCAGCCAGGCAGAATTTGCCCAGGAATGAATTGACCTACTCCAGAAAGACCTACAACCTTCTATTCTCCAAAAGGTGGGCCTGCAAAAGGTTCAAAGTCCTTCTATTTGTGTCACCTTTACACTGTGGCTTAACTGCTAATCACAAAAACAACATGTATTAAGGAGTAATTATCAGTAATTGACAGTGGTACCTCTACCATTTCTATAGAAAGGGCTACCAGGGCTGGGGATGTAGCTCAGTGGCACAAGTGCCTGCCTGGCAAGCGCAAGGTCCTGAGTTCGATTCCCGGTACCAAAAAAAAAATAAAAAAGAAAAGGCTACCAATCTAATTGGAAGGTGGTAGGGTAAGGCCGAGTTTTGAGCTGCATTGGCTTGGAAAGGCAATGAGATTTAGGTTAGGGGGTGCTGATGGAAAGTAACCCATCCCCAAGACACCTCTGGTACCTCCACTCAAATAGTACTTCCTATGTGCAAGGGCTGTGTTACATGCATTGCTTACATTGTCTCCTTTATTCTTTTTTTTTTTTGTCTTTTTGAGACAGGGCCTCAGTATGCAGTTCAGGCTGACCTTGAGCTCACTTTGTAGCCCAGATTGGTCTCAACCTTGCAATGATCCTCCTTCCTCAGCCTCCTGAGTGCTGGGTTACAGGCATGTGCCACAACGCCCAGCTTGTCTCCTTTAATTCTTAAGGAGGCTTGTGAGGTAGGTAATAGTAAGACACCCATTTACAGCTGAGGAAGCTGAGCCACAGGGAGATTAAATGAATTGCCTAAGGTCATATCTAGCAGGTTGCAGGGCTGAGGTTTATACCAGTGGTGGCAAAGGCATGGCACCTGTGCCATAGTGGGCCGTTTGTATCATTGAAAGCTCTAAAAGGTTCACCATCACTGGGTTATTCCCTACTGTAGGGTAAAAAGCACCGATTCCAGAGCAGACTGTCTGAATTTGAATCCTGGTTCTACTCAAAAACTTGATTAGGCAAATTTCTTAATATGCTGTGCTTGTCTCTTCATTTGTGGAGGGGAGGAAGCAATTGTATCCACCTGGAAAATTGCTGCAAGGATTGAGTTAAGACTGTGGTGCAATACTTAATTGTTTCTTTGGCTTTGTCTCCTCCAGACTGAAAGCTATACACCCACCCACGGTGAAAATGCCTGGCATCTATCCAGGGCCTTTAGACAGACCCTCTGGAGAGTATCTCTGACTGCCGATCAACAACTACGACCCGCCTCAGCCTGAAGAAGCCAGATGGGTCACCGCCAAAGAATCCCTCACAGCAGTTTGGGGTACTTCCTCAGAGGAGGGGAATGTTATAGGCAGCTGAGTTAGATAGAAATATTATAGGCAATCAGATAGGGCTAGGCCCTCAAAGGAGCCAGTGCAGAAGACAAGATACCTTGCAGCTGTCGGGGAGACAGACACCTCTGCTGTGGGGCAAACCTCAAGATAAAACAAATATACCCACCTACTTCCTAAGGATAAAGATCGGGGACTGATATTCTAAATAGGTATCATCACCTTGAGAAAGGCAGGAAGAGCCACTAACCCACCCCCTACAGGAAAAGCCCCTGTTCTGTATTCATGCCCTCTTGCTACGTGACTCGCTTCCCCATTTGATCCCAATTTGATCTTACCGGAGCAATCTTATTGGTTGCCCATAGTTTTGTCCCGCCTCATGCCCACTTTGCGATTTCCCGTTTTGTTCCCCACCTCGGATCCACCTCACCTCATAGATTTGCTCTATAAAAATCCCTAGAAAACGTAGGTTCCTTGGCAACCCACTCAGGACACTTCTCTCTCTCTCAGACAGAAGTTTTCTTTCCCCTGTAAATATATTCTGCTCTTTAGAAAAAAGACTATGGTGCATGAACACCTTAAGGTTCTCCATTATTATTATAATTATCATGCATTTTTAGGATTACCCTACTCCTGTTTTTTCTGGCATTCTGATAAAGACCATTGTTCTCAAACTTTGATTTTCTTTTCAGTACAGCAACTAGGGCCCCAGCTTCGCAAATGTCAGAGCACCAGCTCATCCAAAGCTCTAGGGCAGCATAGAATCATTGAGGATCAAGAGGTGGCCTCAACTCATTTTACAGGTGAGGGGACAAAGTCAGAGCAGGTATGGACATTCCACATACCCACAGGGCTAGTCCTCAGCAGAGTGAGAGCTCGGACTCAGGGGCCCAGAATCCAGCCCTGGCTCCCTCACCCCAGGTAGTGGCCGCTCTGTAGCTCAGCCTACCAAACCCGACCCCCCGCATGGCCTCAGCAGAAGGCACACTGGAGCAAGCACTTAGATTTAAAGCAGAGCACCCATGTTCTATTTCTGACTCCTACACTGACCATCTGATCTTGAGTAGGGCATTTCCTTGGACCTCACTTATGACCTATAAAATTGGAACAATAATACTACTCTGCCTGTTGCAAAACGTTATTGTGAAAATCAAATGAGATTAATGGGTAAAATGGAACTTAAATGTAAGGTAACTTTATGAGGCCCTTCAGTCAATTGAGTATTAAGCTTCCTGGGAGACAAGGACTGTTCTGTTGATAACCGCATTCTCCCTTAGTGTACAGAGCTACTACCCGAACGTGCGTATTTGACAGCCCGACTCCAAGAGTTTCTGGGAACATCTAATCTGATATTGTTTTCATTTAACCCTGGCCCTTTCTCCAGATTTACCTTGAAGCCTCCTGGCCAGCTCACGGGTGAAAAGCACGTTGGCCAACTTGCTATGGCAATAGGCAAAACCACTGCAGTAATACTTCTCGCCCTGGAGGTCATGGAAGCGAATCTTGCCGGCATGGTGCACCACGGAAGACAGGTTCACCACCCGCGAGGGAGCAGATTCTTTCAGCCGCTCCAGGAGCAGGTGGGTGAGAAGGAAGTGGCCTAGGGGGAGAGGCAGCAGGAGACTGAAGGGTAAAACAGCGGCTTCGCCTCAGCTTTAGCTCGCTGTTTTTCTGGGTATGGACAGTTTTTGACGCCAAGAGTAACTCAGGCTAATGGTCAGTTGGTTCCCAGTTAGTGGATTCCCCAAAGCAAGGACCAGAGCCCGACTCCAGTGAAGCAATTATCCTTAATCTATATTTTTTGAACCTCTGCTCGTTGCCCTAGCCAGGGAAAACTCCCATCTGCTGGCTTCCAGTTTCCCTTCTGGCCACGATTACACAATTGTGGGCCCAGGTACACTCCTGCACTGAGGGAAAGTGAATCACTAGTAGAAACAGCGTGCTCCATGCTGGCCTGTCTGGAACCACCCTCCTGAAGTGTGAACCCCAGCCTCTCTTGTACCTGAAGTTCTCAAGCTTTGCCGACCCCCATGGGCCCCTGCGGCTCGCTTGTCTCTCCTGTGGATGTGACCCCTCCAGCCAAACCCAGATGCCTGCATACCTGGCCCTGCTGGGGAGCCCTGCATTGCCACTGTTCTATCCCAGAATAAAATCTTCTCCCCGCTGGTAGCTTCTGATATTTGGGGTTTCTTAATGGTGTGGAAAGGAAGGTTTCACTCTTTCAGGCCGGTCAGGAGAAAGAGAGTGAAATAAGAAAAGTGTCTAATCTATTGGCACCCTCGTCTCTATGGGACCGTGGAGAGCCTCAGCACCAGAATAGGGTCGTCTTCCAACACAGAACAGGTGGGTGGTGCCTCCCTTTGGACTCATCCAAGGATACTTACCCAGGTGGTTGACCCCAATATGGGTTTCAAAGCCATCTGCCGTCTTGGAATATGTATTCAACATTACTCCTGCATTATTGATCAGTATATGGAGCTTCTTTTCCTCTGTCAAGCACAACCAAGGGAATCCTGTAGTTAGAGGGGAGTCCACTAGCTGCCTGTCATCGTCCTGAGTATTTGCCCCTTGCCCTCGCCCATGAACTCTCTGTTGGGGAAAGGTTACACTCACTTTGCTCCTGTCTTTTAAAACAAGGTGTGCCTCAGCAGTCAATAAACTATTCCCCATTTGGACCGATCTCTGTGGTATTCAGTAAGTACTGCACTGGGTTTCTAAGTTGAGTTGCTCATATCTTTCTGTTTATCCATCTGCTCAGAAGTGTGTACTGGCTACCAACCCTGGGGCAGGCCCACTCTACTAGGCCCTTGCAATCCAGTGGTGACACAAGGCCGACCTGGTCCCTGCTCCTCATGGATTCTACAGGCAGTGATAGAAGCCGGGAATTTTCTAAGATCCAGAAGAATCTTAGCAGCGGCACAACCTCACCTAGTGCCTGTGGACACAAAAGTTGATTTTCTGGATTGAAGAAGAACATGGCATCAGGGCCACACCTTAATGGCAAGGTACAAGCCCAGGCAGAGAGCTGACACCCCCAGCATTCCCACTGCTGAGCGCGAAGTCAGTGCGGATCCTGCCCAGCTTGTCTACCCACCATGCCCTTGCCAAATCACAGTCTTGCTGGTTCGCTTGGTGGAACCTGTCGAGTAGGATCATGATAGTTCTGATGCAAGGACCACAAGATGGTCCAGGGTGGGGCAGCCATTCCTATACTTGGTTTCCTTGCTACCCGCTAGGGTCTCACCTGCCAGAAAGCCCTCAGCAAAGGCTCGGATGGATTTGGTGTCAGATAGGTCCAGTTTCCGTACCAACACCTGGGAGTTCTTTGTATCTGCTCGGATTTCACTGGCAGCAGACTCCCCCTTCAGTACATCTCGGCAGGCAATGTACACTCGGGCTCCTGGGGCCAGAACACAATCAACATGTTCAGAGAGTATGCTGAAGAAGAGGTATAGTAAGTGACCTAGGGACCGGTGAATATAGCATTCTCCTGGCAACCCCTAAGCACGGCGGTGCCCTACTGCCGCTTCTAGATTCTCAGAGTAGCACTGACCTCTCTTCTGCTGCCAGCTGAACCCCATGCCGAGAACCTTGGTTTAACCCTCCAGGTATAGTTTAGGTTTTATTTTTTTTTTGTAGTACTAGGGATTGAACCCCAAAGAACTCAGGGCCTTTACACTGGGCTATATCCCCAGGTTTTTTTTGTTTTGTTTTGTTTTTGTTTTTTGAGACAGGTTCTCACTAAAATGCTAAGTTTCCCAGTCTGGGTTTGAACTTGTGATGCTCCTGCCTCAGCCTCCAAGAGTGCTGGGATTACCGGCTTGCACCACCACACCCGACTACCCTGTAATGTTGAATTATCATCGCCTATGAGAATGATATACTTGGCCAATATTATTACACAGAGTTATCATTATTTTCCTGTATCTAATATGGAAGGAACAGGGAGGTATGTTGAAAGCCAGAGAGCAAGTTAGAACCACACTGGACTTGAATCCCAAGTTCTGTGAGCTCCAGAGCCACCAAGCCTGGGGGAGAGACAAGGCGACACGGGCCTTGTCTCCGGTAAGTCCCAGTAAGGAGAGTTGGGGGCAAGGGCCTGCAGAGCCCAAGGGGAAGCGCTCACCTCTGCGGGCGAGCTCTCTGGCTGTTTCCTTGCCAATGCCTGTGTTGGCACCAGTGATCACCACCACCTTTCCAGGAAGCTGCACGTTAGTTCTACAAACTCCACCGGCAAAGTACTTCCTGTCGGAAGGGACACAAAAGCATCACACACGACCCTTCCCAAGCGACACTGAGACGCATGAAATGAAATCCACCAGGCTCAAAGACTATCTTGAGGCTGGAGTCAGGAGCCCCCAAGACGCCAATCTGCGTAGGACTTGCTTTTCCTGGGCATAGTGGTGGCCAGTGCCTAGGCGCAGGGTGGAACACCACGTGCCCAGGGGCTACAAATGATCCCCCGGCAACAGAGTAAGTGCTCTTGAGCCAGGGCCGAGGGAGACATTCTACTTTATTTTAACGCTTATTTATTATTATTATTATTTTTATGTATGCAGTGTTGGGGATCGAACCCAGGGCCTTGTGCATGCAAAGGAAGAGCTCTACCAATGAGTTACATCCCCAGCCCCGACACTCTTTTTTAGACAACAAAAATATTGAGCTCCTGTTGCTAGAGGTTCCCAGAGGTCAGCTTCCTCTTTCAACCTGCACTCAAAGCATCTGTGTGATAAACATTATGGAATCAACCGCCCTGACCCTGGGTCTCCAGTAAGCAGCATCACAGTGCGTAACTGATGAACAGCGCCCTGGGGGGTGGCACACACAAAGACCATCCTTGACGGGAGTGTAAACTCCTACCACTATGGAAACCAGAATGAAGTTTCCTTGAGAAACTAAAACTACCAATTCCATTTGACCCAGCTATTCCCCTTCTAGGTATCTTCTTGAAGGAGTTAAAGTCCTCACATTACGGTGATCCATGCGTGCCTATGTTTATAGCAGCATAACTCAAATGGCTAAATCTTGGAAGCAGCCTGTATGTCCATACACAAATGAATGGCTAAAGAAAACGTGGAGTACTACTCTGCCATAAACAAGAATCAACTGGAGTCATTGGTGGGAAAATGGACGTGCCTTGAGGCAATAATGTTAAGTGAAATACATCAGACACACAAGCTTAAACATCATATGATTTCTCTTATATGAGAAACCCAAATTATAAATAAATTAAAGAGCAAAATAAAAGATAACAAGAAACAGGGAGATGGAGCTCTGCAAAAGAGATGGAAGGAGTGGGGAGGGAGAGGGAAGGAAGCGGATTAAACAAAGGAATTTAGATGTGTTATATACAGGTACCAACTCCCCACAATTTGTATAATCAAACATATGCTACAAACATATGCTAACAAAAGCAAATAAAAATAATAAACACACAAATAAAAAAGACTATAGCCCCCCCAAATAAAACAAATGCTGAATATCCAAAAATAGCAAAAACCACCCTTAGGCTGCCTCTCCCCTTTTAGTAAGCAGGGCACTAAAATGGAGGAGGCTTTGTGCCGTTGTATTAGGAATTTTATTTTGGCAATCAGCACACATGGAGAAAACCTCCCTTGCTGATTTCTCAAGCTCTAAACAAGAAGATCAGAGTGGGCAGAACCAACATTTGCTGGGCGTCTTCTGACTGCCAGGCACCTAGCTAGGCACTTTCCACACAGAATTTAAAGCTCTCAGCCACTCCACCACTGTTTGCACGTGACAGTAGGAAAAACTGAGCCCAGGAGTTCAAGGCATTTCTACTAGCAGCAGAGCTGGAATTTGAATCCAGGTCTCTATGTCCAAATGATACTGTCATTTAACTGTCCCCATTTAACTTTATCATCAGTCACTTAAAAATGCTCCACCAGAACACACATTTCCTTGACCCCTCCAGAAATCCCACAGCTAATGAGCCAACCGGAAGCATTTGTTGACTGCACTATCAAGGGGAAGAGAGCTTGCTTCCTTCCCAGGGTGCCTGGCACTGAAGAACGAGCCCCTCAGCAGGGACACCCCCCCCCATAACAACACAACAGGGTCACCTTGCCTGGGGGAAGAGAAGAAGGGAAGATTGTCATAGAAGCCCAAGGGAACAGAATGAAAGAGCAGGGACTGCCGCCTAAATCGGCTACTGAGCTACTTAACAGTCATTCACTCCACCTTCTAAATCAGCCCAGCCCCGGCGCTTCCTTCTCACTTTCCACCGAGGTATCCATGACCCGTCCTTCCTCTGTTTTTGTTTTTTTTTTTTCCTTCCTCTGTTTTCTACCCTACTTTCTCTCTCTTGGTGTCTTTCTGCGACTGAGAACCGGCTCCCAGGGCAGGACTTTGCCAACTATTAGCAGTTGTTGAGTTAGGACAAACCTGATGGATGGAGCTGTCATGTACAAAACCGAAAGGAAGCAGGTGAACAGTCCCAAAATAACGAGCATCTCTTCAGCTTCTTTAGTGATGCTGCTCCAGCTTTAACCCCAGGTCTGGCTCAGGCTCCTGGGCCGACTCCAACTCTAGCGTCTGCTTCTCCTTGGCTTGCTCCTCTCGCTCCAGGTCACTCAGCAACAGCCTGGTTCTAAGCAGAGCCAGAATCCTATTTAAATTGGAGAGCTGTCAGAGCACAGCCTCCTGGGAAATGTAGTCCTGGAGGGGAGGGATTAGAGGAAAGAGCAGTGCCTCACTTATATGCACCATCAAAGACAATTTGGGGAAATGGAAGCAACTGCCCTCTAGCTCTCCTACCTCCAATTATATCTCTTTTCTAGGGAATGTGTTCTTCCAGCTACACCACTTTTACTCCTTCAAGATAGAATATTTTTTAACTTTTCTAACAAACCTCCTAAAAGCTAGGTATGGTGCTATATGCCTATAGTCCCAGCTATTGAGGAGACTGAGGCAAGAGGCTCACTCGAGCCCAAGAATTTGAGGCCAACCTGGACAATAAAACACAAAACCCAGACCTCATGATGCTTGAAATTCAAGAGTGATTAAAAAAGAAGAATAAGTTGGACGTGGTGGTGCACACCTATAATCCCAGCACTCAGGAGGCTGAGTCAAGAGGATTGTTGCAAGTTTGAGGCCAGCCTGGGCTACAAAGTGAGCTCAAGGCCAGCCTGAACTGCATAGTGAGATCCTGTCTCAAAAAGAAAAAAAAAAAAGGATATAAACTGGGCATGGTGGTACATGTCTGTAATCCCAGCACTCAGGAGGCTGCAGCAGGAGGATTGCCACAAATTCGAGGCAATGGGTACTAGGCTATGGCTATGTAATGCCAGCCTGAACTACACAGCAAGCCAATGTCTGAGAGAGAGAGAAAGGGGGAGGGGAGAGGGGAGAAACTTCCAGACGAGGGGAGAAGTGAGAGTAGTGACAGAGAGATGACGGCCAGCACTCCTGGCTGTCCCGCAGTGCTCAGCTCTTCAATCTGAGTGCTAGCATGGGGACACTCACTGTTACGAAAATGGTGTTGAGTCGCATACTGTGATTTGTGCTTTATTCTGTGCATGATGTTATCCTGCAGTTATCACGCTCATGCACATACTGACAGAGTTTGAGTACACAGATTCCAGAGCTGGTTTTCCTGGTGCAAATCCCAGCTCATCCACTTACAAGCTCTGTGACCTTGGGGCCAGTCTCTGTTAACTCACTTTACTCGCTTGTACAATGAGAGGGTCCACTTGTTTTAAGTATTCAATTATTATGTGAGTAGAAATTTTGGCACAGAAACTAGTGCTAAACACTGATTCCTATCTCTCTGGCTGTTCCACTTCTCACTAAACGCTTGCTATTCCAACACCCTAAACACTGATTCCTATCTCTCTGGCTGTTCCACTTCCCACTAAACGCTTGCTATTCCAACACCCTAAACACTGATTCCTATCTCTCTTGCTATTGCACTTCCCACTTGCTTTCCTCAAGGTGCAGCGTAGGGAGGGAGAGGTGACAGACGAGCGATGTCTCAACTGAGTGCTGGTAAAGACGAGAAAAGCGGCATCCACTCTCAGAGCCTCTGCCTGTGTGTGAGAGGTGAGAGGGACTAAGGCGGGTTCATTTTCTTCATTCTCCCAGCACTTTTCTCCTGGATTGAAGGGAGGCAAGCAGCTAGCACCAGACCCTGGAAATCCTCTGGTCCTTCCTTTGAAGCCAGAGGAGCCCCCACGAGGACACACACATGAAAGAAGACACCTGCATCAGACAGGTGCGCATACCTTTTCTCATCTTATTCAGTGCTTCTTGGTGCCAGGCACCGCGCTAGTGTGAGAAAGACACAGTTCCTGGCTCTTGGGAAACCCATGGAGCTGACCAACAGAAAAAGGAGTGATCAGGTGGCTCCGGAAGGGAACATCCCTTGCACCTACAAAGATGGTACTCGGTTTATCTCGAGTTCGTCTAGGAGGCAGACAGCTGTAAAGAACAGGAGGCAGAACTCTGGAGGAAAGACATTAGAAGGAATACAAAGCATCTAGAATTATGGGAATACACAAAGTAGTTTGCTAAAAACAAGTGTTAAATATCAGAATCCAAAACTTATGTCTAATTACATTGTTTCTTATGGGAAAAATTCACTCTATATGCATCAATTTCTTTGCATTTCCTGGGAGGAACTCACAAGCCTACCCAGGTATGACTGTGTATCAGTTCTATTATTGTTATTTTTCTTAGCGTATGTAACAGTTCTTTATATACTAAGTAGACTCTCTCAGCAGCACTTGCTGTAAATATCCCACCCCACCCCACTTCTCATTCTTGCCTTGTGTATAGTGGTTTATGTCTCAAGGATTTTGGTTACAAGAAATATATTTTCCTTTTTTGTTCGAGTTTCCTGTCTTACTTGAAAGGTCTTACCACTCTATAAGATTATTTAAAAATTTACCCAGTGGTTTTTCTTAGTACTTTATTGGTTTTATTTTTCATGTTTGTATCTTCCATCTATTAGAATTTTGGCTTAAAAAGTAAAGCAAGGATCAAATTTAGTTTTTCCTTGCTGAATTCCTAGATGTGATGATAGTTTATTTCACTATTTCTTCTTGCACTTTGTGAACCTATAGCCTATGACCTATTAGCAATTAAAGGTTTCACCAGAAAGGCCTATGTTACTTTGAAATAACTGATTTATTTTTGTTAAATGAACTCACTTCTTCACAAATAAAGCTAGTTCTCAAACCAGTATTGAGACAATCATGCTCTGCCCCATAGCAAAGCCATGGACCAACCTGATACCTGCTTTTTAGGAACTTTCCATAAGAGACAGATATAAATGTAAGTCATAGAGAGATGGAAGTATCAGAGGAATCGGTGCTGGAGTGGACGTGGTTGATATTCAGCTGTGACAAAGCATTCATTTCTTTGTCAGAGCACTCAATATTGACAAAGCACTCAATACCTTTGAGAAGAGCTCTCTGCTGTCCTCACCTCCGTGAATCACAGGTCAGGTTTATAGGTCAGCCTTTCTCCTGGGGCAAAACCGAGGGATCTGAGCACCTTTGACCTCTACCCACTAAGATACCTGTAGCACCTAATATCTCTTATGACAACCAAAGATGTCTCCAGATACTGCAAGCTTGCCCCCATCTAAGGTCCTCTGCCCTGCAGGGGTAGAGCCTACAGGAGATCACCAATATGTGTTTTTTTTAAAGTTCTCTTTCTTTTTCTCTTTCTTCCTTCCTTTCTTCTTTCTTTTCTTCTTTCTTTCTCCTTCTTTCTTTCTTCTTTCTTTCTCTCTCTCTCTCTCTTTCTTTCTTTCTTTCTTTCTTTCTTTCTTTCTTTCTTCTGTTGTGCTAGAGATTAAACCTAGGGACGTAAGTATGCTAAGCATGCACTCTACCACTGAGCTACACCCCCAGCCCTGGTATGTGTATCACTGAAAAGGAATAGAGTCCAGGCGTGGTGGCACATACCTGTAATCTCAGCACTCGGGAGGCTGAGGTAAGAGGATTGTTGCGAGTTCGAGACCAGCTTGGGTTAAAAGGTGAGCTCAAGGCCAGCCTGAACAGTATAGTGAGACCCTGTCTCAAAAAGACAAAAAAAAAAAAAAAAAAGAAAGAAAGAAAAGAAAAGGATCAGAGCAAAATAATGTTTCACTTAGTATCCAGTGCCTTTGGCTTAGCTCCAGCCAAACTAATCTGCTTACTGTCCATACCAAGATATTAGTAACTCCTCAGAGTCTGGGATACTGGCCAATACTTTTGACCTTCAAATCTTTTCTTCTCCCAGCTTAATTCTGTCTACCTTTAATTACTCATTAGTCTACAATCCCTGAGATCTATATACACATAACACGTCAAAAAATACCTCTCCTGAGTGACCTTCTGGGGTGATGTGAATGTTGTGTCATAGAAGAGGTTTGGGTTGTATGGATCTGTGCACTTATCAAAACACCAAATATACACTTAAGACTTGTACATTTCATTGTATGTATTTTTTCTTTTTTGAGATAGGGTCTCAGGCCGGGGATATAGCTCAGTGGTGTAAGCGCCTGCCTGGCAAGTGTAAGGTCCTGAGTTCGATTCTAGGTACCAAAAAAAAAAAAAAGAGATAGGGTCTCACTACCTTGCCTAAATTGCCCAAGCTGGCCTTGAATTTGCAATTCTCCTTTCTCCTACCTCAGCTTCCAGAGTACCTGGGAATACAGGCAGATGCTACCACAGCCAGGTTCATTGTACGTAAATCTTACATCTAAAGAAAAAAATTGTCTCTGGTTAATGATATACATGCAGAAGTTTTTAGAGGGGAAAGGTGCTGATGTCTGTGATTTACTTTGACATACATTAATAAAATAAGATGGATTAATGGATATAGGGAAGTAAAAAGACATTTTATTCTACTCATTTTATACATATGATAAAATTGGTACTGTACCATGTTAATGTAGAATCTACAGGATGGGCATATGGATGTTTGTGAAACTTCTATGAATGTTTGAAATTTTTCAGATTAAAATGCCAATAAAGCCAGGCTTGGTGGTGCTCACCTATAATTCCAGCTACTGGGGAGGCTGAGGCAGGAGGATTACAAGTTTAAAGCCAGCCTGATGACTTAGGGAGACCCTGACTCAAAATACAGTATAATAGGTAAAGTAAGGATGTAGCTCAGTGGTAGAATATTAGACTAATATGCACAAGGTCCTGGGTTCAATCCCCAGTAACACACACACACACACACACACACACACACACACAGAGCTACAAACACACATAAACACACACATAGAAAAGTTCTGCATGGAAAATCTAGAAGCTTACCATTCCAGAATGAAAAGTTGGAATGCATTGCCTTGTTCATGTTTTCTAACTTTCTAGTATCATAGAAATTTTCTTCCCCTGAAAATATTTTAATAATTTTTAGGTCAAACTTAAATATATATCCTCTTCAAGGCACACCCATTTTAATCAGTCATTCCCTTCTCTTGCTCCTGTATACTGTATTTACCTCTTTATAAGGCAGTCACAATGTTACAGGCAGCTGAGTTAGACAGAAATATTATAGACAGTCAGACAGGGCCGGGCCCTCGAAGGAGCCAACATGAAAGATAAGATACCTTGTGTGGGCCAGACCTCAAAACAAAAGAACTAAACAAATGCACCCACATACCTCCC